GGGGGATATGTTCCAAGGCTCCCAGTGGATGCCTGAAACTTCAGATAGTACCAAAACCTATATATATATACATATAAACCTACTATGTTTTTTTCCTCTACATACATATTTGAGGTATGACAGCAAAATGAGCATGAATTTCTTTTTCCTTCTTAACAATTTCATGGATAGAAGACTTGTTCTTACCATAAATCTTACCAACCTCAGCATACAATTCTTTTTCTTTCCTTATCAAGCTGAGAACTTTCACCTTTTCACTTAAAGGAAGCACTTTATGGCTTCTCTTTGACATATCCAAATTGCCAGCATCACTACTCTTGCACTTTGAGGCTGTTATTAAGTAAAATAAGGGTTACTTGAGCACAAGTACAGCAATATTGCAACAGTAGATCTGATAATTAAGCCAGCTACTAAGTGACTAACAGGCAGGTAGCGTATACAGCACAAAAGGGTGGTTCACCTCCTGGGTGGGACAAAGCAGAATGGCTCGATATTTCATTATGCTACTCAGAACAGCATCCAATTTAAAACTTAGGAATTATTTATTTCTGGAATTTTCCATTTAATATTTCCAGATCACAGTTGACCACAGGTAATTGAAACTGTGGAAAGCAAAACCACAGATAAGCAAGGACTACTATATTCATCATCAATCTTCTGTTTTTTATTTCTTGAAACGTAGTAAACATACTTATTTTATATTCTATGACTGAAAACTCCTATATCTGAAGTTTTAGAGGGTCTATTTCTACTATCTTTTGTTTCTGCTGGCAACCACTCATGATGTATGTATGGAGTTTTGATGATGAGCTGCTTACTTTCCTTGGAACCTTATTTACAAATATTCTTTGAAGCCTTGACTGAAGAGGAATTCTTCCATAAAAGATTTAAATGTGCTTATTTCAGTTGCCATGAGCACCATCATTCTAGATTTAATTCTAGCTAAAATTTTAAATTTCTTAGCTTATGGTATTTCAGACCATAATTGTGAATTCAGCTTGCAACTGACCTGGACTAGTTAATGGTTAAGAAGGAGAGATTTTTTATTTCCTTTAACTAGGGGCCAACCTTGGAAACAGGCATTTTCCTTGTAAACTGCTTGGGAGAGCCTTACCTGAAGTTGAATTTAACCCTAACTGTAGTAATAGCTTTTTGGTCCCAGATTTATACTGGGGTGGGCTCTTGTTACTACACACCTTAGGTGGCTCTGGGCTCTGGAGTGACAGGAACCTTTCACAGCTCCTGCATACATTCATTAAGTTTGACAAATGCCCTCAAGGTGGATAGTCTCCAGGATGGAAGACTTAGGTTTCTATCTTCTCTTAGTCTTAGATCTGAGTGCTCTTGATTTTTTTCATCAGCTTATGGCTACATTTAAGAATACAAGAAGTGGAAGTCTTATATAGATTTAAATTCTGCTCTTGTATTTTAATCACTAGTAATCTTTTCACATCACATACATAATTCCTTTGCATTTTATCTCAGCTGATTCTTTTCCAGAGACTTCTGCTTATATTTCCTATATTCTTGTACTCTATTGTTGGGGCCAAAAAGCTTAATGAAGTTTTCATCTAGATCTCACAATAGATCATTTTTAAATGTATATATTTCTTATGATTTCAGAATACTGTTTCTTTAACTGATTCTACAGTTTTTTCATTGTCCCTGTTTTATTTACTCTTTTCTCATCCTTGACAGGGTGAGCCATGTTGAAACCCAGTGTTATCAACTGCATTCTCCTGTGTATTGCTCAAATCTCCCTTTCACATTTATAGTTGAAAGGCAGATTGATGTACACAGCACCTATTCCTGACCCCAGTTTTAGCAGGATTTTACCTTTTTCAGCCCTGTCATAGAGGTTATATTCTCTCCTACACTCACTGCTTGAAGGTATAAAACAATGGAAGATATTAGAACTTAAATTCCCAGCAATCATACATTTAACACTGGCTTCTTTTACCATTTTCATGAAAGACTTAAAGGTGGTGAGGGAAAGAGCCATATGAATATCTAGGAGAAGAATTTTCTAGACAAGGAAGGGACCATTGGAAGGCTCTGAGGTAGAAATGTGCCCGATGTGTTTGAGAAACACCAGGGCATCCAGTGTGGCTGGAGCAGAGTGAGAAGGAGAGAGAGTAGTAATGAATGTGGTCAAAGCAGTAATAGGACTTTGATTTTTTTTTTTCTTACTCTGAGTAAAATGGGGAGCCTCTCAGAGTTTTGAGCAGAGCAATAAAATAATCTCACTTAACATTTTAAAGGGACAACTCTGGCAGCTATGGAGGGCAGGGGCAGGGAAAAGAAGCAGATTAGGGAGCTATGGAAATGATGCTGGTGAGAGATGATGGTGTGGCTTGAACCACCTTCAGAGAGTAGATGGGCAAAATGGGGTATACACATGCCGGGAGTACTATGTAGTACTATGTACTATGCAGTACTAGATTTTAGGTCTTTGTAGCAAATGGACAGATCTTTAAAACATAGTATTTGGTGAAAGCACTTAGTACTTAGTGAAAAAAGTGGGAACACAGAACATACAAGGTAGTGTTTTTACTTTGAATCTAAGATGTGCTTAACATTGGTTCAAGATTTTATAAATCTCTAAAAGAGAAAAAGTGCTGCCAATGATACTGTGACACTTCGTCTATTGTAAGATGCATCCCAATTGTAGGGATGTTAAAATATCAGAAGGCTACGTCTTAGAACCAACAAAATAGGATACCACATAATACCACTAGCATAAATTAAAATACAAGCACAAAATTACAAATTTTTGCATGAACATATTCAAATAAAAAATACACGTAAAATATTTAAATAGTTTATTTGACGGGGGGACATAAAGGGAGTGAGAGTGGGCTATGGGGGTTAGAAAAACACATGCAAACACACCTATGTACGTGCATATATGCATACATACAAACCAACAAAAAGAAACCTTGATTAGGGAAAACTTCACATAAATCCCCAGGGCGCATCCACGGACCTCAGACCTCTTTTTGATAAACATGCTTAGTGTACCTTTGGTCCTTTCCACCCGCATATTTTTTTATTTTTTTATTTATTTTTTTTTGTGTGAGGAGATCAGCCCTGTGCTAACATCCGCCAATCCTCCTCTTTTTTTTTTTGCTGAGGAAGACGGCCCTGGGCTAACATCTGTGCCCATCTTCCTCCACTTTATATGGGACGCCGCCACAGCATGGCTTGCCAAGCAGTGCGTCGGTGCGAGCCCGGGATCCGAACCAGCGAACCCCGGGCCGCCGCAGCGGAGCGCGCGCACTTAACCGCTTGCGCCACCTGGCCGGCCCCTACCCGCATATTTTTTTAAAACTATTTTATTAAGGTCATAATGGTTTATAACATCATATAATTTCAGATGTACATTATTATATATCAGTTTCTGTATAGACGGCATCGTGCTTACCACCAGTAGTCTGACTTTTATCCATACCATGCACATGTGCCCCTTTAACTCTTTCACTCAATGCCCAGCCCCCATCCCCTCTGGTAACCACTAATCTGTTCTCTTTATCCATGTGTTTGTTTATCTTCCACATATGAGTGAAATCATATGGTGTTTGTCTTTCTCTGTCTAGCTTATTTCACTTAACATAATATCCTCAAGGTCCATCCATCTTGTTGCAAATGGGATGTCTTGTCTTTTTTATGTCTGAGTAGTATTCCATTGTATATATACCACATCTTCTTTATCCATTCATCAGTTGATGGGCACTTGGGTTGCTTCCACATCTTGGCTACTGTGAATAATGCTGCAATGAAGATAGGGGTGCATAAGTGTCTTTGAATTGCTGATTTCATGTTCTTTGGATAAATGCCAAGTAGTGGGATAGCTGGATGGTATGGTATTTCTATTTTTAATTTTTTGAGAAATCTCCATACTGTTTTCCATAGTGGCTGCACCAGTTTGCATTCCCACCAGCAGTGTACGAGGATTCCGTTTTCTCCACATCCTCTCCAATATTTGTTATTTTTTGTCTTGTTAATTATAGCCATTCTGACAGGTGTAAGGTGATACCTCATTGTAGTTTTGATTTGCATTTCCCTCATAATTAGTGATGTTGAACGTCTTTTCATGTGTCTAGTGGCCATCTGTATATCTTCTTTGGAAAAATGTCTATTCATATTGTCTGCCCATTTTTTGACTGGATTGTTGGGTTTTTTGTCGTTGTTGAGTTGTATGAGTTCTTTACATATTTTAGAAATTAACCCCTTATCAGATATATGATTTGCAAATATTTTCTGCCATTTGGTGGGTTGTCTTTTCGTTTTATTCATGGTTTCCTTTGCCTTGCAGAAGCTTTTTAGTCTGATGTAGTCTCATTTGTTTATTTTTTCTTTTGTTTCCCTTGCCTGAATAGACACGGTATTTGAAAAGATGCTGCTGAGACCGATGTCAAAGAGTGTACTGTCTATATTTTCTTCTAGGAGTTTTATGGTTTCAGGTCTTACCTTCAAGTCTTTAATCCATTTTGAGTTAATTTTTGTGTGTTCCACCTGCACATTTTTAATGTCATGATTTACTTTGCAATAAATGATGTTGGTGATAAGTCTGCTTACATGCTGCTGCTTCTGAACTCCCAAAAGATATGCTTTTGTTTTTTCACAATTCAGTTCCTGGGAATCAAGACCATCACTGCTGTAGCTTCCAGGAGCTAGGAGGTGCTGGGGATGACCTATGGTACCTGACTAGTTACAAATAGTAAATCTCAAATGGGGTGGGGGTAATCAAAAGGAAGGAGAGTCAGAAGAGACATTGAGGAAAACATTTTTCTTGGATTTTCTTTCAAAGTAGCCCAAATAAGGAAGGGGTCTATTCTCTGGGTGTAAAGGAAAGGACTTCCCCAGCCTTATTTGAGCAAATAAGTTAGAAGCATAGTTTCCCTATCTTGGTAACTAAGGGCTGAAGAACATTCTACATCCATTTGACTTGATAATTATTTCCCCTTGAGAACACGATGCATCCCTTTTGTGTCTTTCAGAAAGTAAAACCTTTATATGTGCAGTCTAAAGTGAACTTGACAGATTCTGCATCTTCTGGAAGTGATCATCATGTATCTTTGGTAGGTAGATTATTTTTTCCCTATTAAATATTTGATCAGGTGATGTTACTCAACCTCAGCAATGGAAATTTTTGGTTTACCTGCAGATGGACAACAAGTACCTGGACATAGTCGGTGATCAGATATCCTTTCTGCCTTCACCAAAAGGTAAGAGTCTTTCTTGTTGGAAAAAAGGTTTACACACAGAATGGGTACTCAATCTAGATTAGCATTGCTTTTTTTTGTTGTCCTGAAGTGTTTTGCATTCTGGGCGAATGCAGGACTTTTTTCAGCCAATTTATAAAACCAATACATAGATATGCTGAATAAAAGAATGTTAACATGTATCTCTGAATATTTATCACTGCTAATTGAAAATGAGTTTAGTCATACTTCCAAACTAGAAACTATCTCAATTGGAATCCTCTTTCTTTTTTACTAAACTGCCAACAAAGCTGAAGCTCTTGTTAAATTTCTGTTTTTCCAATTTAATAATTAGAAGAAAAGTGTGACTATTTCTAGCATACTTTATCTCCCATCGGTCTTTAGGGGGCTTAAATAGGACTCTCTTGGAACTGGAAGTATGTTTCGTCCATTAGTTTCTGTAAGTCTTTCGGAGACACTTGGGCTTCCTTTGCTCTAACAAACAAATTGGATTAATAAAATGTGACATTATTAGTTTGAGTTATTATTATTGATGATAACCAAAGGGTGTCGGTAATTTATTTTTCATGTCTGGGAATGTTTAAAAGTAGACTTTTATGGGCTCGGCTCAGTGGCCTAGTGGTTAAAGTTCTGCATGCTCTGCTTCGGCAGTCCTGGTTCGTGGGTTCAGATCCCGGGCATGGACCTACTCTACTCACCAGCCACGCTGTGGAGGTGTCCCACATGAATAAAAGTAGAGGAAGATTGGCACAGATGTTAGCTCAGGGAGAATCTTCCTCAAGCAAAAAGAGGAGGAGGATTGGCAACGGATGTTAGCTCAGGGCGAATCTTCCTCAGGAAAAAAAAAAAGTAGACTTTTGTACTGAATCTTTAAGCAAAGGAGAAGTATGTGATATGACTTTAAATCCTGGACCCTAATTTTAAAATCTACTTTTTGAAAACTAGATAACCTTCAGCGGAGAGGAACCTCTCATTGGGCCTCCATGCAATGGAGAGGCTTTTTCTGTAGTGCTCATATGTATAGGTAGTGTCTGTTCCAGAGGTGCCTGTCCTGGGTACAGAGGAATCTTTCAGCAATCCTAATGCTGGCTGCCTCCTAGGCTGGCATTTTGATTACAGTAACACCCAGACTGGACTCTATAGCATGCAGCTATTAGCTTAAAGAGCAACAAGATCAGCCCTGAGCTAACATCCATGCTAATCCTCCTCTTTTTGCTGAGGAAGACCGGCTCTGAGCTAACGTCTATTGTCAATCCTCCTCCTTTTTTTTTTCCCCAAAGCCCAAGTAGATAGTTGTATGTCACAGTTGCACATCCTTCCAGTTGCTGTATGTGGGACACGGCCTCAGCATGGCCGGGGAAGCGGTGTGTTGGTGCGCGCCCGGGATCCGAACCCGGGCCACCAGCAGTGGAGCACACACACTTAACCGCTAAGCCACGGGGCCAGCCCAGAGCAGCAACCTTTTAAAGGTATCAGCATTTATATAAGGGATTAGATCTGTTGAGTTGTTGGAACTTCCAACCCATACCGTAAGTTATTTCTAAAATATCATAATATATTAGGAGAAGAGAGATTCTCATGATTTATCTTAAAAACATAGATTGTTGAATTTGGAGCCTGTGGTTGGCCTGACATTTTCATCAGAAAGTTTAATTAACAGGAGCATTCCATTGCCCAAAAAATTCAGTTGAGGATTTTGCCTCCAAAATTGATTTTCCCCAGCCAAGCAAACCATTTTTCAAAGGTCCATTTGACGTGATACAAATAAACTTTGATGGCCACCTGGAATATAAGGCAACCACAACTGAAATAAACATCACTCCCTTTCCTGAGTCCCGAAAATGCGAAATGTAGAGTTAGTACCACTCTGTCTACTGGAAATCCTCCTAAAATTCATTAGTCTGTTTTTTTGCCTTCCTAATAAAATTGAATGTAAAAGCTTTTTTATGATCCATAATTTTTCAGTAAGCTACAAAGCTTGTTGTTCTGAATGTTACCCTGTATTGCAGAGGAGGTGTAGGGAACAATGTTCACACCAAAAACCTCTGGACACATCCCTGAAATTTCTTTCTACTAAATCTGCCTTACAACTTTGACATGTCATCTTCTTCCCTCTGAAGGTAGCGAGGGGAAATAATCCAGCTAACATTTCCAGTTAACTGGGTGCTAGTTAATGCAAAATTTACCAGAAATAAATTTTTTATTTTTAATGAATAAAAACAAATAAATGAGTGCCAGAATGAAAGTTGAGTTACAAATTTACTCATTTGGAGAGTAAATGAATCTTCTTGTTAGAGGACGGTTGACAGCTGCTGCATGGTATTCACACTACACATTGAATGGGCCAAATGGTCTTCAGGAAACAAGTCACTCCAAGCTTCCCAGGTACTTCAGAAGGTTGAGTGGGCCCCTTCAGGCCCCTCGGAAATAGTTTAACACATCATTAGTATTTTCAAGCACTAATTCAAATATACATTATTAAAGAGCTGTTTAGTTATATAGTTAGTATATACCTGATTTATAGATAAATTGTTATTACTTTATATAACATGGGGAGTTACTGTAACCTATCTGGTAACAGATGCCCAACCAAACTCTTTGAATTCACTGTTACACTGAGTTCCATGTTTTAGAATATGCAACTAGAATATTAATATTTTAAATACCTATTGAATATTTATCCTCCCCGTTAACAGCATCCTCAGCATTGCATCAAAGATTGAGGTTCTTAGTTGTACTTTCACACCACAGGATACTTTTAAAAATTATGTGTAGCTAACGTTTAGTGGGTGTAGGGACTATTCTAAATGTCTTTCACATTTTAGCTCTAATCCTCACAAACCCCTATGAGGTTGGCATTCTTGCTTTCCCCCAACCTACAGAGGAGACGGTTGGATACAGAGAGGTTTTGTAAGCTGCCAGGGGTACACCACAAGTAAGTGGCACAGCTGGATTCAAAATCTGGCAGTGTGGCCCCAGAGCTCAGGCGTGTCACCACTTAACTGTATTGACTCGCACCAAGACTCACGCATGACAACGTGTTGTCCCATTCTCAGCAACACACAATGGGAAACGTGATGTAACAGAAGGGCTTTGGAAGGGACAGACTTGGGTTCCCATCTCTGTTCCAGCCACTTACTCACTGGGTGACCTCATCTCAATCCCCTCTGCTGTGTGAAATGGAGATGGTGACCCCACCTCGTACCTTTGTGATGAGGATTAGATGAGATAACATATATTATGTGCCTAACTAACCCCTATCCCTACCTTTCCTCCTGAGCTGTTGATATTATTTTATACAGTCTGCAAACCTACTTTTTAGCCCGCCGCATGAGAGCCATAATGTCCTCAGCAGTAGGCTAGTGATTTAAAAGAACTAGTTTCTCCTTTGATTCGTTAGTAACTAATTTTCTACCATGCAATAAGTATAAGAATAAAACTCATCTTTAGTATCAAAATATACAGTATATATTTTGAAAAGAGTGAAATAAAACATAAAATATAATTTAAAACAATGTTATATCAGATGATATATCTTGCCTAAGCAGATTAAAAATGACCTTTTTTTTATGTTGCAAGTTTTAATCCAAAAAGTTCTAAAGCGAACAACAGAGAGTCACTCAGGCAATATAGAAAAAGAGATAAATAGGTAAAAAGAGATAAATGAATCCTTGTTAATATAAGGGAATAATAAATGAGGTCCAATACTATCTGCAAATTTCAAAGCAGTTTTTTACACAGTAGTAATTATCCCAAGAGAGCCCAGGTAACATTATTAATTTGTTTGCTACTTAACTGTGATAAAATTTGGGATCTGAGCTGCCCATTGTGTACTGTGCACTGCCACAGATTTTATGTACTCAAGAAGACCTTTCTCACAGTCCAGTAATTAGGTGCTATTGACATTGTAATCTTTGGAAATGTTCTTAATGAGCCCCAAAGACACAAATCTCATAGATAAAACCTCAAAGTAACAGTGACTCTTTAAGTGGCTTGTCGGTAAGAGAAAGCTCAAACATCTATATCTGAGACACAAGAGAAACCCAAATTTAAACCTAGATTACATTGTGTTGTTCATTCTCTGAGACTTTTAGGAAAGAAACATCGAAGAGGTGATTTTAAAAGCTAGTAGAACAATCGCAATATATTTGAAATAACTTTAAAATCTTTCTTTTCACCGTTGGAAAATTTGGATCTGAAAACTATTTTTTTACTAAGTGTATTTTCCACCAACTTATAAAAATAAATATTAATTGAAAGTGGAGTTCAGTTGCCCATGTTTTTGTTTTCAAAATAAAAATAATTTTAAAACTCACACAAGAAATTGGAACTTAGATAAAAGATAAAAAGGAAAAGAAATTTTAGGCTTTAGTATTGTTTTATATATTGTTTCCAGACTTCAACTATAATTAATATAATTTAGTAAGGTTTTCAAATTTGTATTCAATGCTTATTTTATAATATTATTGCATATACTACATATATATAAACAGTATATAACATTGTTTAGCATATAACTAATAGCTATAAAATAGCTTAGAAGAAGGAATTAATGAATTATGAATTAAGTACAAGGACTAACCTGATTTACTAAATATGATGTATTAAGGGGTCTGTAAATTTTAATAATGTCACTGCCACCAACTGTTCTACTACCCTTATTGTCACTAATTACCTATTATTCAAATGGTACATTTCTAAGTTGTATATGTCATCCTTGTCTTTGAGATTTGAGCTGATTCTCAACTACTTTTTCTTAGGAATTTTCCTTGCTCTTTCTATCTATATTCTAGAGATATTTTCTACTCAAAGCATGGGATTTAGGATTATTAGATGATAAATTGAAGCCTGGAAGAGGAGCAGCCTGTCTCTTAATATACTTTTCCAAACACAAGGAATTCTCAATGGCATAGAGAAGAGTCAAGATGACCAATTGGATTAGAGAATTAATCACAAAAATCAGAAGTTCTCTAACTGAAGCTCTGTCTATAGGTCAGACAGAG